AAGGAGTGGATATTCACGTAATTGTAGAACATTCTTGGTGGCGAAACGGAAGGCTATCTGTCCGCGATTGCAGCTGCGGTTTCAAATGGAATTTGTGAGGGTCGCTTGTCACAAGATATCGCGATGTATTCTGAAAGTGTCAAGGATTTCGAAATGAAGTTCATTAAATCTCACGCGCAGGGTATCTATCCAAAAAGTCCACACACAAACACACATCCAGAACGCCTTCCATCGCCCCTCTCTCTACTTCCTAAACAAACTCGTCTGACTCCCCACCAGCGGATTAGGCTGAAACTCCATATCATTCCCACCCCCGCCCGCAAAAAGCGGCACACTATCATCATCAACCCTACTCCTCGGCTTCATCTCCTCCCCCCTCGCAATCTCAATCGTACTAATCACCGGTAGCGCCAACAGCAACAACGGTAGCAACTGCCCAAAACTCCAGTTGCCCTCGGACGGCCCAACAAGATGAACGGACTCAGGTGGATGACCGAAAGCCTGGGACTCGAGAACGACGCGTATAGTAGCGCCGACGCCCATGGCGAGACACGCGAAGAGACCGACGACTTGCACGGTTTTGAGCCATTTGGGGTTGGAGCGGTTGTGCAGGTACCATGTTGCGAAGCCGAATGTGATGACTTGGCCTGCGATGACGGCGATGGTGCCGGCGATGGAAAGCGCGGCGTTTCCGCTTCGGCCTTTGCTTTCCACCTCCCAGACGCATGCGATGGGTAATCTGGGCTCCATGTCTTTCATAACCGTCTGTAGGATGAATACCCCAGAGAGGATGCCCAGGAACATGTTTACGAGCATGAGGATTTGTCGGATCCAGCGTAGCACCCAGTCCCTCTTAAAATCGTTGACGAGGGCGAGGAGGGTGGCGAGGTTTGTGGCGGTGGAGAGCAGGGAGAGGAGCCAGATGATGAAGAAGTGGTAGGGGACCATTGTTTTCATCTTTGCGAGGCCGACGGATTGGATGCCGATGCCTGTTAGGATCTGTTGGTCGGAGAAGGATTGGAGCAGTTTGCGGCTGATGGGGGCGGAGGTGGATTTTCGTAGGCCGAGTAGGATGATGGTGGCGGAGAGGAGGATGGAGAGGATGTTGGTTATTATGAAGGAGAGGAGGGTCTGGGGGGGTTGGTGTTAGTCTGGAGGAGAGGAGGAGGGGGAGGAGGGGGACGTACGCCTGCGCCTGCTACTCCTGCGTCGGTGTTTGTCGTCTCGGGGACGGTGGAACAGTTGAACGCCATGGTGGTGTCTTCGCTCTTCTCTGTTCGGGTGGTGGTGGTGGTGTCGAAGGAGTGTAAGCGCGTCAGGCCAGCATGCGCGGAGTCGAGTCGTGGTGTCGCGAAGTTCAAATCGCAGTCGCAAAGTCGCAAATGCGCGCAACAACCAGAATGCCGTTAAAGAAAGAGTCGACCCGTATCGCGCAAGTTCACCAGGAAACCAACAAGAGACCGAGAGCGAAAGTGAAAGTAACAGAAAGCAAGAACCTCAGCACAGCCTCACACAATGTCATCATACCCTACCAGGATCCCTCCCTCCATCGCATCTCCCATCTAATTTAAGGCATGTAGGCGAATCCGCCATCATCCGCCTTTCCCATAACCATCCACCATCCCAGGGGTAAAACGATCGACAGCGTGAAACAAGGCGGTAATGCCGGCCAATAGCCGATCTCTGCCCGTTGACATCTGTGGCGTAAGCGCGCAACCTGCGACGTGTGCTGGGCCAGTTAGAGATGCGGGGTAGGATATTCCATGTGGACGATGGTGGTGGGTTATGCGTTGAGGGAAAGTTGGGATGTTGTGGTGAGAGGGAAGTGGTCTTTTTAGGTGCGAAGGCGCTTGCGCAGGGGAGAGGGCGCGTGCAGGAAGGGTCCGCCGCCGTGGTGCGTAGCGTGGAGGCGATTTGGCGGATCGCGACTTTATCGGGTCATTCTGCATTTCTTGACATACAACATCGTTCAGGGTCAAAATTGTCGTAAAAATTGGCTATCTTTGAGTTGTATGCAGTGTTACAAATGACTTAGCAGCGCTGATATATCCGTTGCCCATCCCCTCTGCTTCACTCCTCCGAAGGTGCCGATGCGGGCTTACTCGTCGGCGCATACGCGCTCTTCTCCCTAATTTTCGCACCTTGGTAGTAAAACCAGATTGGCACAGGTATCATCGCAGCAGCGAAACATCCAAGTAACGTCGAAGCCCATTCAACGCCCATACCCTCGAACATCTCTTTCGCGAAGAGAGGAAACGCTGCCCCCCATATGCTACGAAGGAACGTATTCGCTGCGATCGCCGAAGCGGCAAACTAGATGACATGTCAGCACGGACTAGGATATGTGGAAGCCCGGGTTCTTCTTACCATAAGATAGGCGTCGATGATATAGTTGAACGACTGCAAAAAGATACTCATGATGCCGAATCCAATCAGCAATCCAGAGCACGTAGGCACGATCCAATGGATATCCGCGCGATATCCGGTCCATCCGAACCAGAACAAGCCTCCCGCGAAAGCGACACCACCCACGATAACCTCGGGTAACCGCCACTCCGGGATGGGAACATTGTTGTTAGCAGCAAGCTTCTTCTGGTATCCTGGCTGCCTCGCAAAGATAAACACGCCAGCGAACAACTCCCCAATGATCATTCCGAAGAACGGAAGACCACCAACACCGGGGTTCATGCCATGGACGCCCTGGAATACGATCGGATATGCTGTGAGGAAGAGGTATAGCAATCCGTAGATGAAGGCGATGTAGATACTGAGCAGCAACACAATACGCTCCGTAACCAGCATCCTAAGCGGCCTCGAAAAGTTCTTCTCGATGAGTTCGCGGAAATCGACTTCAATCTCTTCTTGCTTGGCGTGGATGCCCCAGTTCTTTGTGCGGCGGCGCAGTTCGGCGGCTTTGGCGACGAGGATGATGGGTGGGTAGGATTCGTCGAGGAAGAGGAGCATGAGGGTGAAGGAGGCGAAACCCATGAAGGAACTGTGATGGGAGGGTTAGTATAGGTGTTTCTTGTGGTTTGTGGGGAAGAACGAGGAACTGCTTACACAAGGTACTGCGTCCATCGCCAGGAATTCGACATGACTATGAAACCGCCGATGAAAGGAGCGAGGAAAGGACCTGTAAACACCATGACGCTGAAGAGGCAGATCGCTATTCCACGCGTCCTGTTGGCGAACATGTCGGCGAAGACTGCGGCAACGATCTATGTCCATATTAGCACCTTTGTCCCATCTATCAAGCATTCGCACAAATACTCACGGTAATCGGACACGCGCCAAAGAACCCCGCGAAAAATCGACAGATCAAGATAGTCTGCAGATCCTTGGCCGTCGCACACGCAATGTTGAAGACCGAGAAGCCAAACGATGCCACCACAAGCGGCAATCTCCTTCCTTTGAGCTCTGAGAAAGGTGCCCAGAGAACGGGTCCCGTGGCGAATCCTAAGATGTACAACGAGGTGCCCAGCGTAGCGACCACATAGCCGACGTTGAACTGTAGCTCGATAGCTCTCGTCGCGGTACTGAATATCGAACTAGCGAATGAAGCTGTGACTGTCGTGAAGCCCTATCATATAGAACACAACGTCAGTCTATATCCATGACAAAAAGATTACCGCGTCTCTCGATGCGATATTCGACGTACCAACATCAGCGCAGTAAACAACTTCTTCCCCAACGCCCAATTCTGCGCATGCAACGGGTCATCTTCTCCATCGAACTCGACCACATAGTCTTCCTGGTTGCCGAGAGGAGGAGGATACGGTTTCCCTGCGCCGAACGCTGGCAAGGGACGAGAGCGAGCAGACCTGCTGCGGAAGACACCAAGGCCACCACGGGCGCCGTCGCCGACTGTTTGCGAATGCTGGCTCTTTGACGTGTGGACGCGGTTCAAAGATGAGGCATCGTGGCGGAGGGCTTCGACGTCGGTCTGAGGATTTGTTTGGGATGGGGAGGTAGGTGAGGTGGAGGTGGCCGCTGTGCTTGAAGAAGATCCTGTACACAGTACACCGCCGTCCTTCTCGTTGTCTCTTTCTAGAACTCCGGCCTGGACCTGTGAGAAGCTGTCTGGGCTAGCATCTCGCTGTGCCATCTTCCGCGTGTACTGGTTCTTTGTCGTCCGATGTGACTACAACGAGTCCTGTGCAACAACGGATACTGCGACCCGATGTTATACATATTCCATTCTTCACACATGTTTAGCGGTCAGTATAGTATGTTGAACGTCCGTTCCTCCGCGCCGAACTCCACAACAATGTTGATCCCATAGCGCGAGGCGTCGGGGATATAAAAATGCACCGACGAAAGAGACATTGTTATTCGCTAGAGTGGAACATGCGAGTCTTGCGAGTCATAAGGGATGTTGCCAATGTTTCGTATAAATGCTATGCTACTTTATATCCTCAACTGTTGGGAATCCTACAGACTGATGGTGCTGATCGCGGCGTTTGGAGCGCGTTGTGTGGTTGGTGTTGATGGATGGTCAGCCATCATGGCGCCGTGGAACCCCCGAAAGCGGGTCGACCATGAGTAAAAAAGCAGCGAGCCAAGACATCCCTCGTCCTTTATGTATATAGGGGACATACTCCGGAGCCGGACTTTATACATCGATGTTGGCAGTCAAAGTCACAGTCGCAGGTGTCTAGGTCTGGCAGCCCACAATTGTCCGCGTCGCGGCCCAAGCACCAAGACGCGTTGTTGCCTTCGCGCACCTATCGTATTACTCACCTTGGACAGTACTTGTATGAGCCACATACTCATCAGGCTGACCGTTACCACGTTCACGCCTCTCCTATGTAATTCAACAAGTCACAAGTGCATGTAAGACAGAATATGCTGTTGTCCCGCAGTGGGAGGTGGTATCTCTACCATGTCGTGATTTTTGGTATTCGTCTAGCAACTGCTCATAAAGACGTGAAACCGTCCGTCATGATCATGCATAGTCTTCATCAAAAGGTCATAAAAAAGGGCGCGCCAGCAAGAAGCATCTACAACTTTTGCATGGCAACGATGTCGGTGGACTGGACGTGGTCCTCGAACTCTTCGATCTGTTGCTGGAGCTCGTCGAGCGAGACCTTGTCGTCCTCGACGACCAAGTTGATCTGGAGCTTCTTGATACCGAAACCGACAGCAACAAGCTGGGAGGCACCCCAGACGAGACCCTCCTTCTCGATGGAAAGAACGTTCGCCTTGAGCTCGTCCATGTTTGTCTCGTCATCTGAACAGCGTTAGCATGCAAGCCCATTGGCAAATGTGGGAAGACACATACCCCATGGCTTAACGTCCATAGTGACGATAGACTTGGCAGCAGGCTTGACCTTGCCGGCCTTCTTTTTGTTGTACTCGGCCAGACGCTCCTCCTTGATCCTGGCAGCCTCGGCGTCCTCCTCCTCGTCATCGCTGCCGAACAGGTCGACCTCATCGTCGTCGTCCTCAGCCTCCTTCTCAGGTGCCTTGGCGGGGTTGAGGGTGAGCTCGGAGGACTCGGGGCCGTAGGCGGTGAAGTCCTTGGTTGGGTCACCAGGGAGGGAGTCGAACTCGCCCTCGAAGGTGAGCATGTGGTTGTACCAGCGCCATGCGTACGGGTACTTCTCAGGCGCGGGGATCTGCTTGATTTGCTGGTAGACCTTTACATCGGCCTGCGATGGGGAGTAGCTGGGGCATGTTAGCCAATGACTCCTTTGTGATGTCTAGGTGAAATGTAGGAGGGTAGATGGATCAGAGTTGCGACAAGCGCGTGGTTTTGTATTCAGATAGCGGGGTCTTAAGCCGCCTCATTAACACGGACCAATTGTTCTCATCATGAAAACTTGGGGGGTGCGACGCAATGCAGGGGAGGTACAAAGCGGAGGGAGTGGTATGGCGGGGTAGGAACTTACCCAACAATGTAGCTGCGGGTCTTGACATAGTTGTTCAGGAGAGTCAGGCCTGCTTCGGAAACGAGATCGGTGAAGCCCATAGTTGCGAATGTGCTTGCGAGTATGGTATGGGAGAATCGAAGGTGTTGTGTTGAGAGAAAGAGGGACGGCTGCAGTTTTTGATGGAGGCTGGAGGAAATTGCACTGAGAAAAACGCGCTAGCCTTTGCGCTAGCACGTGCCCCTCCCTGCCCGCGACAGTCACGAACACGAAGAGTCAACCAAGCCATACTCATGCCAACCTTTATGCACCTAGGCCTTGCACATTATACCCATACGGATTGATTCTCGTCTGCGCCTTCGGCTTCCACCCGTATCGGTTGTGGATGCTGGAAGCCTGCAGTGTTTACTCATAGACGCGTAGAAATCTATCGAACCACCGCGCATCTTCGCCGAAGCCTGTGCTCCCGCCATCCATCACGAATATAATGATACCATCTCCATCTTCTCCAAATTGACTCTTGCTTGCTTTTTGACTCCGACATCGTCATGCTGACCAGTAGAGCACGCATAGCCGCGAGGCGCATCGCCTCCCCCTCGACCTCGCGATCACTTCCCATCCGCACATCGCCGCCATGTCTCAACGCTTCCGCGATACGACTGCCTCAGCAGCAGAAACTTCTAAGACCACTCATATCGTCACGAAGCTATGCCACGAACGGAGGCCGACCACACCCTCCAGGTGGAACACATCGCATGAACCTAGGTGGCGAGCCGGAAAAGCCTGCGTTGGAACAATATGGTGTGGATCTTACGGAACGAGCCCGTGATGGCAAGCTAGATCCTGTCATCGGACGAGACGGCGAAATCCAGCGTACCATACAGATCCTATCGAGACGAACGAAGAATAACCCAGTGCTGATCGGCTCTGCGGGAACAGGAAAGACTGCCATTCTTGAGGGCCTGGCCCAGCGAATCGTCAAAGGCGACGTGCCCGAATCCATCAAAGACAAGCGTGTTATCTCTCTTGACCTCGGGTCTCTCATCGCTGGCGCAAAGTTCCGCGGAGATTTCGAAGAGCGCCTCAAGAGCGTCCTGAAGGAGGTCGAAGAGGCGAAGAAGGGCGTCATACTATTCGTGGATGAGCTACACACACTGTTAGGTCTGGGCAAGGCGGAGGGCAGCATCGATGCGAGCAATCTGCTGAAGCCCGCGCTCAGCCGCGGAGAGCTACAACTCTGTGGCGCAACAACACTCAACGAATACCGACAAATCGAAAAGGACGCAGCTCTTGCGCGACGATTTCAACCAATTCTAGTGGGCGAGCCGACTGTACAAGACACCATCTCGATACTGCGCGGTATCAAGGAGCGATACGAGGTCCACCATGGTGTCCGCATTACCGACAACGCCCTAGTCGCCGCCGCTGCGTACAGCAACCGATACATCACCGACCGCTTCCTTCCCGACAAGGCCATCGATTTGGTAGACGAAGCCGCGAGTGCCCTGCGCCTCCAGCAAGAGAGCAAACCCGATGCGATTCAAGAGCTAGACCGTCAGATCATGACCATACAAATCGAGCTGGAATCGCTGCGGAAGGAGACAGACATTGCCAGCAAAGAGCGACGTGAACGCCTCGAGGAATCTCTGAAACAAAAGCAAGAGGAAGTCAATGGCCTGACCGAGAAATGGGAGAAGGAGCGAGCTGAGCTTGACGAAATTAAGAACGCGCAGGAGAACCTTGAAAGGGCGAAGCTTGAGCTTGAGCAAGCTCGCAGAGAGGGTAACTTCGCCAAAGCTGGTGAGCTGCAGTACAGCCGAATCCCTGAGTTGGAGCAAAAGCTTCCCAAAGACGAGGAGGTTACCGCAGGCGCCAACCGACAGGGATCCTTACTGCACGACTCTGTTACCGCCGATGACATCGCATCCGTGGTTTCACGCACGACCGGCATCCCGCTCTCCAAACTCAACTCGGGCGAGAGTGAGAAGCTTATACACATGGAAGACACCCTACGGCAATACGTCAAGGGCCAAGATGAAGCATTGAAGTCCGTTGCAAACGCCATTCGTCTGCAGAGAGCTGGCTTGTCTGGCGAGAACAGGCCCATCGCTTCCTTCATGATGTTGGGACCGACTGGTGTAGGAAAGACCGAAGTCTGCAAGAGGCTGGCGGAGTATCTGTTCAGTACTCCCCAGGCTGTCATTCGATTCGATATGAGCGAGTTCAGTGAGAAGCACACGGTCTCCCGCCTCATTGGTTCACCTGCAGGCTATGTTGGATACGAGGACGCTGGCCAGCTCACCGAAGCTGTCCGACGAAAGCCTTACGCGGTCCTCCTGTTCGATGAATGGGAGAAGGCCCACAAGGATATTTCGACGCTTCTTCTGCAGGTACTTGACGAAGGCTTCCTCACAGACGCCCAAGGACACAAGGTCGACTTCCGCAACACCATCATCGTCATGACATCCAACCTTGGTGCTGATATCATCGTTGGCGACGATGTGTTGGACTCTGCTGGAAAGGAGTCTAGTGAAATCTCACCCGCAGTACGCAGCGCCGTAATGGATGTTGTGTCCGCCACATACCCACCGGAGTTCCTCAATCGTCTAGACGAATTCATCATCTTCCGCCGTCTGTCACGCGAAGCGCTCAGGGATATTGTGGACATCCGTCTCAAGGAACTGCAGCAGCGACTGGACGATCGCAGGATCGTGCTAGAATGTCCGGATGAGGCCAAGCAATGGCTATGCGACAGGGGATACGACCCGAAGTTCGGTGCTCGACCGCTAAACAGGCTTATTGCACGTGAGATCGGCAATGGCCTGGCGGATAGAATAATCCGTGGAGAGATTCGCAGCGGAGACACGGCCAAGGTCGCCATCAACGCGGACGGCACCGGTCTCACCGTTGCTGCCGCATGAAGAAGTATGACTAACGACGATATGACTGTATAACAGACTGTAAACTGTACCATTGCATGTACATAATGTAGTATCAACGGCGTTTGTAGGTAGAAAATTTCCTCTCTGTAGATTGCAGCAATGCACGAGATTCTCTTCTTTGATTCAGTATCCCGCGGCAGGCACGCGTCGCGTAAGCTGCCATGCGCGACTTCCTCTTTCATCCCCACCCACACAGCTCAGTATTCTCTCACCTCACCGACACTCAAGCCATCAAAGTCATCATCCTCGATCACCGCGATGGCGCGCAACTCTTCATACCGCAATCGAGGTAGTCGCAGCAGTGCTACCTCGCGCGGAAATCGCAGTAGTCAGAACCGCCGCACACCCACCTCGACTAGCAACTCGCATGCATCTTCCACGCGCTCTGCTTCAAGCGTGCCTGCAGGGCCGAGCAGATCGCATAGAGACGTTGATCGAGGACCGTTTCCGGATACCTCAGTGGACACACCTTCCGAGAGTCGCGGTGCCGAAGAAAACGACGACACATTGATCGAGGTCATCATGGCCGTTGATATGACACCACGTGGCACAGTAGGATGTTGCTATTACGTCGCAAGAGACGAGAAGCTGTACTTCATGGAAGACATACAATGCGGCGACGTTGATGTCATTGACTCCCGTGGGTCCTTTTTATCTTGATATCTAGACCACGTGTTAACCAGGGCGCAGTGAGAACATTTATCGAGCCCACCGTGATCCTAGTGTCGACGAAGATTGACGACAAAGTCATCGAACGATTCGATCCAGAAGCCAGGAGCGACAGCGCAAGCAGCGACAACGATCAGTTTCGCCTTCCATTTCTGCTGGAGGTGAGACCACCCAATGAGTTCTCCTACGATGCTGCAAAGAGCAAGCTCGTCAGCCTTCGTTTAGGTGACGAGAACGGTACCCGTGTCAGTTTCAACATTCCAGGAGAGCTTGCATCAATGAACCATCTGGATGAAGAGGGCACGTTAGGCCAGCAAGGACAACTGCTCCGGCTAGCAGGATGGATCGACCTCGACAGCCGTTCGACGGTATTCTCGCGCTTCTCGTGGAAGATGCGTCGCTAATACTGCACAGGTCGGCTGCGCTGGAGCACTTATATCGTATCTTCAACGCCGACGCGCTGCGGCATACCTGCCTGGCGATCGCTCAGCATATCTCATGTTCCGTATCACAACACTGGAGATGTTCAGTCTTCGCGAGACGATGTTCATCAACGCGGATACGCTCCACTCGTTACAGATCATGGGCGCCGAATCGCATCCGCACTCGCATAACAAAGGGCCGACCAAAGCCAGCTCCGGCGAAAAGGAAGGGCTCTCCGTGTATGGGCTATTCCACCATCTCGCTCGAACACCACAAGGAAGGTTCTTGCTTCGGCAACAGTTCCTGCGCCCTAGTCTCAACATCGATATCATCAACGAGAGGCTGAGCACGATAGCGGTCTTCGTTCGTCCAGATAACGACCCCGCTCTACAAGCACTCGTACAGAATTTGAAGAACATCAGCAACATGCGTGCCATGATGGTCAACCTGAGAAAGGGCGTGGGCGGCTCAACGAAAGCAGGCGGCGGCTTCTCCAAGAGCATATGGACATCGATCAGAGCGGTACGTTTCCCAAAACACCATTCTACGTCATCTGACTGATCGTTTCAGTTTGCATTTCATGCGCTCAAGATCAAAGACACGTTGCAGGATGTTCTCGGCGGTGAGGCCTTAGCTATCAGGAACAAGGTACTTACAATCACTAGCTTGATTATCACCGCAAGGCTATGCCAGTAGCATTTGGTGGTTCATAGAATTGCGATGTTGACCTTTGCAGGTCTTCGAGAAATTTGAAGGTTACCATTTAGCTCAGATCGGGAGGAAGATTAGTGAGACCATCGACTTGGCCAGTTCGGCAGAAGAAGGTCGGACTGTCATCATGCCCGGCGTTGACGACGAGCTGGATCAGATGAAAAGGACTCTGGACAGTCTTGACGACTTCCTCAACCGAGTAGCGCGGAAGTTGTCTGAGAAGATGCCCTCTGACATCCGTGAGTCATGTTGTTCCTGTCTATCCCAGTTTCTGTTACCTTGGGGTTACACCGAATCAAAATCTAACCAAATTAGGCGCCACTCTCAACGTCATCTACTTCCCGCAAATCGGATTT